CACTGTCGAGCTGCCGGAAATAGCGCCCAAGCCATCTTTTCCTTTCCTTCCCTCCTTTCTCAGCCAAACCTTTTTGCAAACTCTCCATCTCCTACCTTAATACCCCTTTTTCTCCCAAGAACACTCAGTTTTCTCTTCGGTGCTAAACTCATGTCAATTTTGCTCCCATGCCACAAGCTTCTCATGCTAAGCCAAGAATTTATCTGTAAGCTGTTGTTATTTTTGTTGGTGAAGGTAATCAAGGTGTTTCCTAAGGCCTTATTGTCCTTTCGAAGCATTCTTGGGGCTTGATCTCTGAACTCAAGCTCAAGGGGCAATTTCATCCATTTTGCTATTTATGGCAGCCCAGGCCCGTAGTAGCTGCCGGAAGAAAAAGACCCCTACACATATAAACTTTTCTGTCAAATGTTGTCAAGATCGCTTTTGGTTATCAGAAAACTCTTTTTTCCCTTCCAGAAACACTGCCAAACAAGCTCGTAGTCTTTTATAATTTGACCACCTCCACCAAGATCACTTGTATAAATAAATAAATAAAAAGGTTACTTTCAAAGTTCCACATTTTTATTTTTGAGAACAAGCGAGATAGTCTAAATTATAGAAGAGGGGGTTTCTCACACACGCGCACACAATTAAGATATCATGGGGTTCTAACCTAAGACCTTTGGTATGCAAGTCAAGGCCCCTTTTCACTGAGTTAGACATCTTGACTCAAAATTCAACATTAAAAGATGACAACAAGGTAACTTCAACAGTTCGACTTAAACAAAGACTTGCAAGGTAACAATCAAATTCTAAAAAGAAATTAAGAGGCGACTCCATTATAAGTGAGCAAATATGACAGCATAGACCCTTCCACCTAAGTGACGTAGACTATGCTGATGTCAGCACTCAGCAATATCCAAACGGTGATGGTGGTGCACTGGTGCTCGTGACTTCTGCATATATGAATTCCATGATTCTCGGATCTGCGGAGAAACAAAATCCAGAAAGTTATCTTTTATATTGATTTAAATATCAATATGTTATCTTTTATTTTACTTCTACTGCAGTAAAATACCATTTTGGTTATTAAAACTATTTTTTTTTTTAAATTTTAAAAAGAAGAGTTTAATATCAGAGATGAAAAACATGAACAAAAAAACTCATCTGCATCTAAGACTGTTGTCTTCGACGCCAGTCATCTTTCTTCTTCACGCATAGTGAATAAGAAAACATGAACCTTTCAAGAAAATACAATATAGTTGCAGAAACCCAAGTTTGGGTTCATGAAAAATATTCCCAAAATTTGTTTATAAAAAATTGAAGTTTTCCCAAAACTGGGATCATGAGTCATACAAATCTAACATTTATAAAGAGAAAATTTATCATAAAGGCAGAGAATAATAGGAAAGTGACTTGGTTGTGGGTCCTTGAAATTGAGTCACGTTAAAGTGTAAAGGGATGGCTTGATGGCTCCGGATTTGGGTCACTAAATTTTCTTTTGTTTCTAAAAAATTTGAATATTTGAATCTAAATCAAGAGATGAAATAGATAACTAATAAGAATTAGAGTGAATCTTAAACGGCACGTGTTCTTGATTTTCGTCTGTAACGCCGAATTTGAAGGTAATTGTGAACGACAATGGAGAAAGAACATGTTCTTGGTTTTCTGAGAGAGCGCCTGTTTTGGTTGGAGTATTTTTTCTTTTTTTAAGTTTTTATTTTTGTTTAAGTTAGAATAATATTTTGTACAGTAAAAGTAATAAAACAATGACATATTGATATTTAAATAAGTTTTTTCTCAACTCTTAGATTAGATCTAACGGCCAGTGATCAAAACCTCCTTGGATCCTAGGGTCAAGAGAACATGACTGTTCAAGAATTGTTAAGGAAGAAGGAAAGTCACGGTTCTTTCAATACATCGAACAAATAAAATACATAACTTATTGAATAAATAAAAAACCACTTATTCATAAAATAATAAGTTCATGATTAAAATTTGCATATGATAAACCAAAATTAAAGTTTATTGCTGAAACTTTGAAACAAACAAAACAGAAATTGAAAATACTTAAAATTAAAAATGGCAACTTTAGCCAACTAGTCGTTTCCCTTTCGCTTTTGCATTAGTCCTTGTACTTAATCTCCCTCCAAGAGAAAAGTGACTGGGCATAGGGGACGATGAGGATGATGCTTGGGCATGAACTCTTGCATAATCCCCCTCCAACCCTTTCCATCTCATTTCCTCCAATTTCTGAGCAAAAGCTAATTTTTTGTGATGTAATATTAATTCATATCACTTGTTTATTACGATATATCATGTGTCCACCAGTATCTTAATTAATTGGATACACCTCTAAGTCTTTCTAGCGTATACACCTGGGCTTGTTTGGGAGTGCTTCTCTAGGAAGCACTTCTGCTCATAAGCGCTTAGCAAAAGTGCTTTTATCATAAAGATGTTGAAATTTCCATAAGAAATCGAAGTGCTTCATGGAAACCCACTTGGAGTACCTTCTGAAGAAGCACAAGTCAGGTGCTTCTCCACAAAGAGCTTATAAACTTTTCTGTCAAATGTTGTCAAGATCGCTTTTGGTTATCAAAAGCGCTTTTTGCCATTCCAGAACAACTATTAAACAAGCCCGTAGTCTTTTATAATTTGACCACCTCCACCAATATCACTTGTATAAATAAATAAATAAAAAGGTTACTTTCAAAGTTCTACATTTTTATTTTTTAGTACAAGCGATATGAAGGGAGGAGGTTTCTCACACACGTGCACACAATTAAGATGTTATGGGGGTTCGAACCTGAGACCTTTAGTATGCAAATCAAGGCCATTTTCCACTGAGCTAGACATCATTCACTCAAAATTCAACATTAAAAGACAACCAACAAGATGACTTCAACAGTTCGACTTAAACAAAGACTTGCAAGGTAACAATCAAATTCTAAAAAGAAATTAAGAGGTGACTCCATTATATTTGACTAGCGATGCCTATGACCAATATTTCTTTGACTTTATTTTTTGGTTTTCCAAGTGTTTCCTTTTTCTTTTCTCTTGATATGAAGTAGGGAGGATTCAAGTTCAAAGTTTCTTCCAGCAAGATACGGAGAAATATTCCTTAGATAATAAACTTCTCATTCATCTTCATATTTTTTTCTCGAAGGATTCTTGTAAGTCTTTCCTAAATAACAAATATTATTTGGAGTAGTCTTTTTTAATTTCACCACCTCCACCAATATCACTTGTATAAATAAATAAATAAAAAGGTTACATTTTTATTTTGAGTACAAGCGATAGTCTAATTTACAAGGGAGGGAGTTTCTCACGCACACACAACAAGATGTTAATGGTGGTTCGAATATGAGACCTCTGGTATGCAAGTCAATGCACTGAGCTATACCTCGTTGGCTCAAAATTCAACATTAAAAGATGACCTACAAGGTGACTTCAACAGTTTCGACTTAAACAAGGACTTGAAAGGTAACAAATCAAATTCTAAAAAGAAATTAAGAGGCGACTCCATTATAAGTGAGCAAATATGACAGCATAGAACCTTCCACTTAAGTGACGTAGACTATGCTGATGTCAGCGCTCAGCAATATCCAAACGGTGATGGTGGTGCACTGGTGCTCGTGACTTCTGCATATATGAATTCCATGATTCTCGGATCTGCAGAGAAACAAAATTAATAGTTTCCAGAAAGTTAATACAGAGTACTTCATATATATATATATAATATATTGACTCGAGGGGAGAGATATTATACTAAAGAGCGTTCAGACTGATCTTTGTTACAAACTTAATTAGAAGCTTTAAACCTTTGGTGCAAGATGGATAGGAAATTCAGATTTCGATACGAAAATTTCAACCTTTGAATAGCAAACCGAACATCCTAAATTCCTAAATTTGAAAATTCCAAAAAAAAGTAATAAAGAAGAAGAATTGAAATGGAATTGGAGTGTATCATGCCAAAGATAGTGTAATTGAGAGAGTTGAGAATGTATAATAAGAAGAACAAGATAGGTTTTGCAGAGCATTCAAATCTGCCAATTGAGTTTCTTACTTAGTGAAGGGTTAGATATACAAGTATACAAGGTGATTATTAGTTACAAACAATGCACAAGACATGGAGGGAAACATGGAGAGTTTCCATCCCTAAAACAAGGAATATGAAAACAAGGAAAAGTAACAAGGTGGTAGACAAGCCATTTAGGGATGTCTATGTTTTGTCTTTGACTTTACTAACATATCATAGAATTGCAAAAATTTCAAATTTCAAAATATATCAGGATCTCAAGCTTGAACTACCAACAGTTACTCACATCATGTTGAAATAAATACAACACGCTCACCAAAGGATCATAGACAAGTTGTCCTAGTAAGAACAACATTTTAGTACACGATAGTTTATTCGGACTTGGTAATGAGTTTTTCATTCGAAGCCCAATTTAACCTTTCAAATTTTGGGTATGTTCAAAATGTTGAACCAGTTTGGTATTCAACTTGAATCCAACTTTTTAAACTCAAAAACAGAATTTGAGTCCAAAACAAAGAAAACCTGTTTGATAGCCCTATGTTTAAAAACTCAAACTCAAGAACAACTAAAAAACACCCCAATTATTAAAAACAAAAAAAAAAACAAAAAATCTATTTTTTTCAGGGGGGTTTTGGGATTTGATAGAAATGAGATCTGCCAAGAAACTTCCACTTATTAATTTGACTTAAAATAAAAAGTTACTGATATTCGTATTAAGATAATATAAAACGGAGACTCTCCAAGGCCTATCCTCAACGAACAGTCTGTAAATCCAAATGGTGTACCCTGCATGGCAAGTTGGCAATATTGAAACAAGAAGGAAGGGGCTATAAATAGGGGCAGCGGGCATTGTATTGAACTCACCCCAAGACTTACAAGCCATTAGCCCTAAGTCTGATATTTCTCTCTTCTTTCTTCTGCCATACTGAACGCCACAGTTAAGTCCTCTACCTATAAGGGAGGAGTATCTATTAGTACCACCATGACTCATGAGGAGCACATCTGGGTTGACAACGTTTCTGAAGACCAAATCTGGACTGTTGTTCATGAAAACCATTTTCCTGACCAGAACAAGCTCAGCTTTAGCATTCAAGATCTTTTATCGGTCACTGGGAACATCATTGATGATGCAGCCAATAACTCCGTCGTTGATAATATTCTACAGGTAAGTCTCTATAGAGTTTTAGTATGTATTAGCTAGAACACTAGTATTTTTAGTACACTGATTACTTAATTCTCATCACTTTTATTTTCTGCAGCAAAATGCACCTGACATGACAAATATCTACAACGGGAAGGACACCTTCATCTCTCCATTATGCCTTCTGAAGTCCATTAGCTGCCAGGTCATATTACATTCATAGTAATAATTAATTGTTGTTTTTAAGTCGAATTTTTATTTTTATGCTTATATATATATATTATTATTTTTTCTGGAGAACACATATAGACCTTAATATATACATAAATTATTGGATCTATATGTGCACATTAACATAATTGATATTGCGATGAAATTCCAGATGTCATCATGTAAGGATGGTGAACAAGTTTCCTTCGCTTTAAGGACTGAAGCAATATTTAAAAAGCTAAAAACGTTTTCATGGGAAGCGAGAGGCAGTGCTAACCCTAGCAGCCTTTGCTTTGGAATATGGAGATTTCTGGCACCTTGCCCAGCACTATGGTAAACTTGACAAACTTACCAAGTCAGTGGCAATCCTTAAGCGAGTGTCGATCCTTATCAAACATGAAATCCTAGAGAAACGCAAGGCTGCGGTTACTGAGCTTAACAATTTGATCATGGAAACATATCATGTGATTGGTTACATCTTTGAGCTGGAGCATCTTCTACAGCAGAACAATCCAAATGATGTTCCTACATTGACCACTGCAATCAAAAAAATCCCAACGGCAGTGTATTGGACAATCTACTCTATTGTAGCATGTACGGCTGAGATCAACCGTCTTACCAGTGATAAGTAAGTTTCTTCCATTTAATCAGCACAATATATATATACATATATATGCAAGAAAATTTCTTCAGTAATACCTTTTTTTTTTGTTCTTGATATACCTAAACAATACATAATTAAAATGTATCTGTGTAATTGTGTATCATGACCAAATATGATTTCCTCCGGTACAGGGAGGAGCCGGACAATCTACCCAAGCAGCTTTCCCTGAAAATCAATGAAATCCACAAGAAGCTTAAGGAAGATTATAAGAGATGCATGAAAGAAAAAGGTGGATTACCTGTGCGTGTGTGTGTACAGATCTATGGATTTTTCTTTCTAGCTCTCTGTGTTTACCTCAACCTATTCAAGGACTCTTTTTCAAATGCCCCATGACAACCATGGTTAAGGGAATATATCGTCAAATGAGCTTGAGCAATTTCAGTATATGTCTTAATGACTTTCAATTTGTCTATTTTGTTGGTCACAACTAGATGTCTTAATGTCAGACCAAAAAAAAAAAAAACTAGATGCCTTAATGTTTTAAATTTGTCTAAGCTTTCGCAATCATATATATATAATGTCTCTTTATATATATGACGGATTTGCAATTTGTCAATAACATATATATAGTTTAATAGTAACGGAAAGTAAAGTATGACAATATATACTAATTAGTTATGATGAGTTGAATTCGTTGTGTTTCCAAGAATTCAATGCTAAAGGCTTCTTTTGTTTTACTTATTCAATACAGCGGAGACAATCAAGTACCTATGGATTTCTAAGGAACTTGTAATCTGTGAAAACATCACGAAGGTTATCAGCACCTTGATTCTTTACAACGATACTGAGCAGCCCGTCGTTAGTCGTGATTCTAATAACAACAAGGTTTGATCTCCTAGTACATATTGCTTCATCAACTTATATATTGACCGACAAAAATGATAGTCATACTATATTTGTATACTATCTTGTGTACCGCTTCCCTAATAAAAGTGGGCCCTATTGTATTGGTGGGCCCCACCTCCTGTTAGAGAGGTGGTATACAAATATGGTATGCCAAGCTAGCATTGTTGTTATTGTTGACTGATTTAAATTAAGGGTAATGCTAGCTAGGCTTACCACATTTATATACCATATTGTGTATCACCTCTCTAAAAGAGATGGAGCCCACTGATACAATTGAGGCCACCTCTACTAGAGAGATGGTAGACAATGTGGTATATAAATATGATATGCCTAACATTTTCCTTTAAATTATGCGTTCAATATTTAAACTTCCTTTATTGTTAACAATAATAACTGAAGTTTATAAAGTTATAAATTTGGTAAATAAAGTGGCCCTGGTGTTTTGGCGGGCTCTAATAAATAAAATTAAAAATCAAAATTTTGCTTGATGGATGATGAACAGATCGATGGAGATACATTTATCAATGAGGTGAAGGGGAAATATCTGTTGTTATATATCTCGAGCCTGAAAAATATATCGAAAGAAGAACTTTTGCGGCTCACAAATCTGTATAAAAGAATTGATCAAGAGTATAATTGCAAGATTGTGTGGATCCCCATTGAGGGTGACTGGACAACTGAAGCCAAAACAAAAGAGTCGCAGTTTATGGAATGGAGGAAGATGATGCCGTGGTACGCAGTGCAATATTTTTCCTCCCCATCATACATGTACCTCAAGAAAGAGTGGAAAGTCAGGGGAAATTCCACGGTGGTGTTGATCAACCCCCAAGGAAAGGTTAAAAACACCAATGCGCTTCCCTCGATTAAGGATGCCAGTATCAATTTCTTTGATTTCCTGGATATTAAGGTCCACACAATGCTTAAGCCAGTAGTGGCTCATATTACAAAGGAGGACACCCAACTTCAACAATCGGTACGTATTTATTAATCAATGATACTATTTGCATTTCTTGATTACTTTGTTGACCAACTCTCTAATAAAAATGGAACTCACTAATGTATGTAGGACCTACCTGTATTAGAGAGGTGGTCAGCAATGTGGTCAATAAATACGTTATAAATAACAGCGCACTTTGTATAAATTGTGCAATATTAATGAGTAATTATTCCGTTAAATGCGCTTCAATAGATGGAAAACAAAGGATACACTTTCTTCATTGGAGGCAAAAACCAGAAAACGACCAGTGAGTTGTGCAACAAGATAATAAAAGCAAAGCCTGCCATTGAGAAAGAACTGAAAATACAGATTGGGTTAGCTACTGTTACGGCAGCATCAGAGACTGAGAAGACTTTCTGGGCCGGCATGGAAAACCTCTTCTTTAGCTTGGCTCACTACAGCAAGGAGTACGAGTACGAGCAGGTGACAAAAGAAGTCCACAAGCTACTTTCTTACAAATTACACAAAGACGATATCGACGGATGGATTATGCTTACCAAAGGATGGACTGTGGTGACCTGTGGTCAGGCTAACACTATTTTCACAACCCTAGAGGAATTTTCTTTCTGGAAGCAACACATAATTGGGAAGGAATGGGGACATGCTTTCACCAAGCACCATGCCCGTCTTATAACTGGGAAAAAAGGACTCTCCTGCATCACCTTTCAGATTGCTGGAAATGCCCCAATGCACTTGGACTGCCCAGTCTGTGACGACCCCATGGAGACCAAGTTGGTCAAATATAACTGCTGCCACCCTCGTCTGCAGAATGCTGCAAATTAAACAAGTCATCCCCATGGCTTTGTGTCCTTAGTAAAATGGGAGCTTTTACGTGCTGTTTTTTGTGTGTGTGTTTCTGCGGTGTCTGTAATTGGTTAAATAACGGGCAATGTCGTCGTCGTTACATTGGTAATGTCAGTCTGATGCCCGGCTGTGTGTTTAATTTCCAGTGTTCCTGTACGAAATAATTTGTTCATCTTTTGAATAATATGCTATGTGCTTATAATTTCATGCTTGCTCGAATATATTTATTTTCTTGGATGTCTATATTGCTTGAAACACTACAAGAAAAACAACCATTAGTAGCCATCCCAAATGCAGTTCATTGAAAAAAAAAATTAGTGAATTCCTTTATCAGACATTGATGAAAATGCTATATATTCGTGATCGCCAGTTTGATCATTAAAAGGCTTATAATTTGGTCACTGAAACACGAGTCACTTTGCCTATATATTACTGACCCATCTATTTGGTCATTGAAACACATGTCACATAAATATAAGAGGGTTCAAACTCAGAAATCCATAGTCACCTCTAGATAAAATTTTAATACTCAAAAATAGTATAAATAACACAATGCAGTCCAAAAACTATGCATGTATCGACATTCCTCCAGCAAATTCACAAGACCTAACCTTTCTCAGAAACAAAATCCTAGTACTAGGATATATACTAACCATGAACAATCAGAGGGTATTTTGCTGAGCCTGTAAACTTGCTGAAAAAATTATTTTGTTGAACACTTGGGATTAGTGTCTTATTTTGATAAATACCTTAGGCAGTAGGAACCTTCAATAGTGTTCAAATACTTGGGATTAGTGTCTTATTTTGGTAAACACCCTTAGCCATTAGGCAGCCACAAATAGTGTTCAAATTATTCATTTTTTATTACTACTTGTAAAAAGCTTTGGACACTTGAGGCATGCAATTGCATATTTTGTATATTTTGATGTGATGTAAAAGGGTTCAAGACTTTATGAATGTAAAGATTGACTTTGGTGTTAAGTGCTCCAAAATCCTTGTGCCACTTCTCATCCCAAGTTCGGTTATTAGAGAGAACTCTCCAAAAGCATCTCCAACCTGTAATCCCAAGTTCAAATACTGATTTCAGTCTTTTATAATTCTACTAGAAACTATAAATATCATCAGTACATAGTGAGATTGTTTATCCTTCTCGAGAAGGTTTCAGATTGGAAAGAGTATTTGAACAGATTGATAGAGCAATCGGTACAACTACTTCAAAAATCAATTTGTCGATTTTCATTTTTCTTCTTTACAAATGTTTTACGTGGATGTGCTATGAATCTATGATGTTTAAATAAATAAAAAAGTAGTAGAATATTTTTATTGAGAAAACTCCAAAATCTGACGATGAACGATTAAGGATGGTGATGGGTTGATTTAATGGAGGAAGGGAGTGCAACGAGGGCCCGTTTGGAAGTGCTTCTGGAACAGTTAAAAGTGTTTCTGACAACCAAAAGCGCTTCTGACAGCATTTGGCATAAAAGTTTAGAAACACTTTTAGGTCTTAGAAGCGCTTTCTGGAGAAGCACCTGTCATGTGCTTCTTCAGAAAGCACTCCCAAGTGCTTTTCCAAAAAGCACTTCGATTTCTTATGAAAATTTCAATGTCTTTATAATAAAGACCAAGTTAATAAAGAAGCACTTGATTTTCACTTTATCAGAGAACGAGTTCAGCGTCATGATTTTTGATATGTCAATACTGAAATCCAAGTTGCCGACATTTTCACAAAGGGCCTGCATAGTCCATTGTTTTCGAAACACCGTCACAATCTTAGTGTTGGTCCAGCCACCACTGCGATT